CAGCCTTAGCAGGGTCATCCTCACTTTGTGCCACGATGTTTTCTTGGCTGAGGGATTTTCCCTCCCCCAGGACCTCACAGAAATGCTCAGCAAATCTGCAAACCTGTTCCTGGGGGTCGGAGATTGGATCACCGTTTTTGCCCCTAATGATGGTAATAGGTGTGGCGCTACAGGTTACTTTTTTGATGGAGTTAAATAGAGATTTGTGATCACGGGCCACTGAGGCAGACTCCATCTCCTCAGCAACCCGCGACCACCACCCATCCTTGCAGCGCCTCACAGCTCTCCGAACCTCCGAGCAAAGGCTGCGGTAAGCCTCCTCATTCTCTGACGTGGGATTCTGTAGCCGATGACAGTGGGCCTGTCGCTTTTTATCAACCATCCTGAACACCTCCTCTGTCAGCCAGGGTCCATGGGGAGGTCTGGACCGCGTACCCAAAGCAGCCATTGCAGCTGCATGAGTCACAGTCCTAAACCTTGCCCATTTACCCTCGACATCAGGAGGAGTCGGGGACGATGCCAATCCCAGCCGCAAGCGATGATTAAATTCTCGCTTGCAACTTTCATCAGATAACTGAGACCAGGCCACTTTAGGTTGGAATGGTATCCTGGGTGTACACCCACCACCGGAGTGGAAGAATGGCAGGCACATCTTACAGATGACTAGTCGATGGTCAAGGACATGGGCTCGCATCCGCTGGTCCGTCACTATGTAGTCCAGCAGATGTTCTTGCTTGGACCCGGCATGCATCCATGATGTTGTGTGGATGCGCCGATGCCGGAACAGCGTGTTGGTAATTACAAGCCCATGGGCTGCACAAAAATCTAGCAGCCTCCTACCGTTGTTATTGAGCTGATCTGGCCCATGCCCTCCAATCACTCCAGACCAGGTGCCAGTATCATGACCAACTCGGGCATTGAAGTCACCCAACATGATGACTCTATCCCGAGGGGCCACTTTAGCCAGCACCTGTGACAGGAGGTCATAGAAGGCATCTGATTCATCGGCTTTGCCTGCATCCCTCCACGGATGTTCATCTTCGGTGGGGGCATAAGTAACCACGACCACCATTCCTCGCCTCCGGTTGATGGGAAGGCGAGCCCAAAGTAGCCTGGGGCTTACAGATATACACACATACACACATACGCACACACATACAAAGATCCCCCATATAGCCTGTAACAGACTGTAGGGGCAAGTGCTGTTAGCGAGCACCTATGAAGGCCGGAACGGTACACGAGGGGGTGGGTGGCCAGCACCACGCCCGACCGCCTTTGTCTCCCTAGTGGCAATGTTTACACACCGCACCAGGTACTCATTTGAGGCTGAGTCGACCTAGGGGAGGCCCGGGACCGGTTCAGATAATCGTCACTGGTGTTGGCCGTGAGCGGGAATCGAACCCGGGTCGCCAGGTTCATAGCGCAGCACGCTAACCGCTACACTATCGCTCCCCACACACACATACACACACACATACACACACATACACATACACACACAATGCACACACACACATACACACATACACACATACGCACATACATACATACACACACATACATACACACATACACACACATACACACACACATACACACACGCACACACACATACACACACGCACACACATACACACACACACATACACTCGCACACACACGCACGCACACACCCACATACACACATACACACACACACGCACACACACACATACACACATACACACGCGTACACACACAACAACAACCGCCATTCGCCACTAAGTGGCGGTGACGTCACCACGACGCTTGTGCCAGGCTATGTGCACCTTGAGGCCACGTGAAGTGTCGAACGCCCGCTGGCAGGAGGTCTCGGGACAGACCCAGCAGGTGCCACGGGTCGACTGACTGAGATGACTGGCTGATGCACCACCTGTGCTCCCTACTGTGCCAACCTGCTGTGCTTTAGCCACCCGGTGCTCCGCTCGTTGTTGTGAGCGTCGCTCCTCCACCCTCCGTTGTTGTTGGAGGGCGACTGCCTCCAACTGCCCAGTAGCAGCGTCCTTCACGAGCCTCCTCCAAAGACAAAGATCCCCCGTATAGCCTGACCAGACCGTAGGGGCAAGTGCTGTTCGGGAGCAGCACCTATGAAGGCCGGAACGGCACACGAGGTGGTGGGTGGCCAGCACCACGCCCGGCCGCCTTTGTCTCTCCAGTGGCGATGTTTACTAATACACAGCACCGGGTACAATTTTGAGGCCGAGTCGACCTAGGGGAGGCCCAGGACCGGTTGAGATAATCGTCACCAGTGGTGCTGGTGTTGGCCGTGAGCGGGAATCGAACTTCGGTCGCCGGGTTCGTAGCGCGGCGTAGCGCTAACCGCTGCACCACCGCTCACCGCAGACACATGCAAAGACAAAGATCCCCCGTATAGCTTTATGACGTCACAAAGCTCTGCCCCCCCCAGGTGCGTTACGTCATTCATGGACGGCCCCTTTGACAGACAGAAACACACCCGCTC